TCTTTCTTAGGGTTCATGAAATCTCCAAATCCCTACACATTATACTACCTCTACCTGCATATTTTCAGGTAACTATAGTGTAAGAATGGCGAACAGCACAGACCCGCTGGCGAAGAGCATAAGGGGGACGAACCCGCAGAATCTGGTTGAGAAGATAGTGCGTTCAAAGATATACCAGAACTCCTACTGGAAGGAGCAGTGCTTTGGACTTACCGCCGAGACCCTTGTTGACAAGGCCATGGAGCTCGACCACTTGGGTGGTACTAATGGCGGAAACCGCAAGCCCACCCCCTTCTTGTGTCTCGTTATGAAGATGCTTCAGATCCAACCCGATAAGGAAATCGTTGTCGAATTTATTAAAAACCCCGAATACAAGTAATCTGCCCCCATTAATTTTTGTTTTTTAACTTCGAAAATTAATTGATTGACCCTTATTTTGCTGTAGGATATTGATTGTTTGATAAACTAATTTTACTTCAATTTTGATAAATTATTCTAACCATGCATGTGAAAAAGGTAATTCTGTGTTTTGTGATTCTTTTTCCTGCATACAATTAAATAATGCATATTTGAGTTAAATAGGCTTCATTCCATGGTATGCAAGAGCAGCGTTCATTGATTTTGCATTCTTCTAACCTAGCAATCTGTCTTCTGCGTATTATTTCTTGTGTTATCACTGTATATTTGATTCCCGGGGTTAAGCATTCTATTGCTATTTTTGTTTTCATTTACTTTATAAGAACGATAAATGTATTTCTCTGGACTGATTGACATTACTGTCTCGTAATAGATATGTTCGGGCACTTGGCGCTTTTTATTTGCGCCTTACAGGGACAGACATTGATGTTTACCGTTACCTAGAACCTCTGTACAATGATTACCGAAAGCTGCGGTTCAAATCATCTGATGGGCGTAAGACTTTCTTAGCTCTTTTGAGTATGATCTTTGTACGGAATATAGTTTGTCATGCTAATGTTATGCTTCCCTCGCTCCAATTGTATCAGGCTTCACCTTGACACATGTTGATGAGATTATCGATGAACTTCTGACAAAAGATTATTCTTGTGATATTGCATTACCACGCATCAAAAAAAGGTATCAGAAACCTGATTTTTGGGCAAGTTTGATGCTAGACTTATTGTTTCTAGGCTTCCTCTAGTCCGACATAATTCATTTGATTTATTCTGATTCTAAGAATTGTTTCACTGGCAAGGTTCACCCCAATTTCAGATTTTGCTCCCCCACCCCTGGTTTTGTTTCATATAAAACCTTAGTTTCGTGCTTATTTGGTTTCACAGTGGCTATTCTTTCTAGTTTTCCTGTATTGTGACTTAGAGCATGTTTAGCTAAGTTTAAAAGGTTTACTTGGCCCGTGATTGGTAGATTTTAATCTAAGTCAAATTGAATAATTAATTTTGATAACATAATTCATGAGACCCACAACTTTTCAATCACACATTTCATCAACTTTTATCAAAATCTATTTTAATCCCTACCAAATAGGGGCTTATTAGTAAGTAGGTTTTAAAATAAATAATTTTTTATTGGTTAAAGTTTTCAATATAATATTTTGAAAAAGAAAGTTATTAGAACATGTTTTTATATAATAAAAATGTGAAATTTGGCCAAACAAGCTTATAATTCATGGGTTGTTATATTTTGATTTCTAAGAATTGTTCGTGGGGGCTAGAATTGCTCCATTTTTGTTTTTTCCCCTATCAGAACTATTTATGTGCATAATGTAATATAAAAAAATTATAGTTAAAAATCCTCATATCTCATCCCTGAAGTCCCACCTCTTGTCCTGTAGAATTTGGTATTATGCTTACTCTTTATTTAAAAGTTCTGGCTAATTAGAAGAATCCTATTGACCCCATTGTACTCATAGTTACAGTCTGATCTACGACACTGATTAAAATAATAATTATTTGGTTACAAGCTTATACCTCCAGCTTCTTCCTGTCCTCTTATGACAGAGAATGAGCCCTTGTTTGGCCCCCGTTTTTCAAAAATACATTATTTCAAAACTCATTTTTAACCACACATTCTCCAAAAAAATAATATTACACGTAAGGTTAAAACTTTTTCTTATTTTTTAATCACACATTCTCCAAAAATATCACTATTACAAAACACATTTTCTCCAAAATTACATTTTAATGGAGCCCAAACAGGGGCTGAGGTAAGCACAATTACATTTGTCAATGGATTTCTGTCCCGTGTAATTCCTAGCTTTATCAATTTCCTCATATTGTCTAAATGATCTTTGTTAAGTCCATATTAGGATCTCCAATTGTTAAATCAAAAGAGACATTTTTTTCCGGTGTTAATTATTACTGGGATTCAATAGACGAATAGACCATTCTTGTAAATCTAGTAATTATTTGAATTGGTTCTTTTAGTTGATGAGAACTCTGATGGATGCTTTTTTTTTAAAAAAAATTTCTATATCTAATTGCTTTGTAGTTGTTTTGATTCCAAATTATTCCTTTTGATTTCTCCTCCATTATCACCTTCTTTTTCTTTTTAATCTTCACAGATCGTAGTCTCATGTAGTAGCCTAGTAGGTACTTACATCTACTTATTTTGTTCTGCTAGAATGACTCTTGAAGCTATCGATACACTGGAACCTAGAAGAAGTGCTCTTGAAGATGATTTTGAGGAGGATGAAGATGACCAACTTGCAGCTGGATTAGATTCTGACAGCCATGACAAGGTTCAGTTCTTAGTCTACTTAAACGCTCATGTTACGTTTTCTATTTTTTGTAGTTATGTCATACATGCATGTTTACTGTCTTGATTTTATTAGTTTTGCTCTTGTGCAACAGGATTACTACCATGGACGAAGTCCAACTAGGGAAAGAGATCAAGATAGAAAACGAGACAGTCACAGATACAGGTATGATTTTCTCTTGTATATATCTATTTTTGCCCCCTCTGGTTGTTTATTTAGAAACCATCTTATATTAAAGAAAGACTGCCATCCCTATTACTTGTGTGGTGATTGCCTTCTTGATGATTCTCAATTTCTCAAAAAGGATTTTTTTTAAAAGATGGTAAAGCAAAACATTGAAATTATTGGGATTGTTTCCTTTAACACATTTTCATGTTCACACAGTTTGTTAATGGCTGTTCTCTTAACTGGTTATAGTTTCTTCACGTCTAGCAGTTGAAATATCTTTTTTTTTCTATCATTTTGTATACCTGATACCCCGTTATTATGTATGATCCGAATCACAAGGTCGGAACCCTTTTTGCTTTTCTGTATTTTATATTTGTTCATGATTTGATTTCTGCTGTTTTTCTATTTTATTTCAGTAGGAGAGAAATAAATTAAAATAGAAAAGTTGAATGGTTAAGGAATAGCCTAATGATTATTCTGAAGACTTCATTTCTCTCATTTGTTGAGGGGCTGAAGAAGAATTCATTCTTGAATCTAATAAAACTAAATGTGGAATTCTATGTTTTTGGTGTATCAGATATTCCTTACACGATAATTTATGCAAGATTTTATTTCTGGTAACTAGAAACTTGAAATCAGTTTGTAGGTCAAGAATTGCATCTTGTTCATATTCTTACCCTTGGTATAGGGATATAAAAGATGAAATCAACATTGGTATTTCGTGTTATTGTTGCGTTATGAGCGATACATTGAGGTGGAAGCTGTCATTTTACAACCTATCACTCGCTCAGTCACTCACGCACGCACGCCCACACCCGAATATCTCATGGTTTTCTGAGCACGATGGCATATGAAGCCATCGGTGGCTTATGACAGCTTCCTAAAGCAATAATTTATGATCCTGCCAGGTTTCTCTGCACTGGCAGTGTGCAGCTGAGAAGTATGATGGATCAGACAGTTTTACTGCAATGCAGTAGTAGTATTTTCTGCATGTATTACTCTTATTTAGTTGTACACCTCAACCTTTTCTCTCATTTGTTGTTTCTACTCTTTTTTTAATTATTTCTTCTCTATCCTTCCCCTTTTCCAAGTTCTCCCACGACTAAAAACTTTAGTTTTTCTCCCATTTTTAAATGGGTTTTGATCAATGTTTTAAAAATTGGACCGGCCCAACTGGTTCAACAGGGAAACTGGGAACCGGGACCAAAATCGGTCCATTGAGGCTTATAAAACCTCTAATTAAAGACCCGCCCCAAAACCAGTTAAACCGACCGATTTTTGGAAAATCCGTGGCCTGTTCCCGTTTAGCTGGTTCAGCCTATGTAAACGTATACTTTTTAAAAAATTTTAATGTATATATTTTTTATTTTTGAAAAATCAATGGTTCAACCTTTTGACCTTTGACCCTTCCTTTTTTTCGGATCAATGGCTGGGTCAGTTTTTGAAACGTTGACTTTTGAACTGTAAGAATCTTGGATTAATATTCATGATAATAGTTTTTGCAAATTGTCGTGTGTGACATTAGGCGGCAAAATAAGTTATTCGCTGAAACTGGTCTAATAATTTTTGTTACAAAACGTGGACCATATTTCATACTTCTTTAAGCTGACCCGACTGCCGATGTACACTCGCAGGGATCGAGATTATGACAGAGATAGGGATTATGACAGGGATCGTGGAAGAGGGCGTGACAGAGATAGGGATAGAGACAGAGATAGAGATAAGGAAAGGGATCACCATCGCCTAAGAGGAGAGAGGGAATATGGTCACGAAAGGGATAGGGAGCGGGACAGGGAGCGTGGCAGACGAAGGAGCCGGAGCAGAAGCAGAGATCGCAAGGATCGTGATGGTGATGAGCGTCGCAAAAGGCATGCTCGTATGAGCGCAAGCCCTAAGAAGCGGAGGGAAGGACCCGATGGTGAGCCAAAAAAGAAGAAAGAAAAGAAGGAAAAGAAGGATGATGGAACAGATCATCCAGATCCGGAGATAGCAGAAGCAAATAGGCTCAGGGCATCACTTGGATTGAAGCCTCTCAAGATGTGACTTGTGAGAATGAATTGTCTACATGTAGTTGCAGTGTTCAGTAGCTGTTGTGCGTGATTAAACTACGTACCTAACCACAAAAATAAAATGAAGTACCCATATTAAGTTGCCGCAACAATCCACTGTCTATGAATTCGTCTTACAGTGTCTCGTTTCATATTATATTACTTCCCTGTTTGGGATTTCTAGATCCGACTTTATTTTGTTCTCATTACTTAAATTTTTTACGTCTTGGTGGTTCAGCTCTAATTAGAAAATGGAATACACCAACACAGTTACATTTCACATTTGAAATGGTGTCTATAAGAGCTGAACCACTGAGTTATCAAAAGCTCAGTCAGGAGACTACAAAGCAAAATTGGGGCAGCAGATTTCAGCACACAATATGGAATTGTAATATTAAAATAGATGAGTAAATTACGTTATTTACATAACTAGATTGAACCAAATTAGGATCGGATGGTTCAGTCTGGTT